GTGTTCAGCCTGGAGCAGAGGAGGCTGAGGGGAGCCCTCATCGCTCCCTACAACTGCCTGAGAGGAGGGGGGAGCCAGGGGGGTCGGGCTCTGCTCCCAGGGAACGGGCCATGGGATGAGGGGAAACAGCCTCAAGTTGTGCCAGGGCAGGGTTGGGTTGGCCATTGGGAAAAATGTCTTCCCCAAAAGGGCTGTCAGGCACTGGAAGGGGCTGCCCAGGGAAGGGGTTGAGTCCCCATCCCTCGGGGGATTTAAAAGACCAGCAGACGAGGTGTTAGGGACAGGGTTTAGTGGTGGAATGGCAGGGTTAGGGGAATGGTTGGGCTTGATGATCTTAAAGGTCTTTTCCAACCTAAACGATTCTGTGATTCTATGATCTCCTGCAGGAAATTGGGATTTTTGCTGCTGATAACGTCCAACCCATCACATCAGACAGCCCTTACCTGCCTTCCCTACCAGTTGTGTCTCGGCAGTTAGGAGCCGGTTGGGTGCGAGAGAACCAACATGCCGAGGAGCAAGAGATGCTCGGGTAAGAGGGAAGGGGGACACGGAAGGGCTGTGGTTATTAGGCCCTCGCACAGCAGCTTTCCCTGGCTGGAGGAAGGAGGTGCCAGGCTCGGCAAACCTGGCAAAATCAAGAAGAGCAGAGCTGGCTGATGATGTTCCGAGGAGTTTAGTTAGCGCTGGTGGCATGGGAGGTGGGAGGGTGGCCCTGGGTGTTGGAGAGGGGGAAGGCTGCAGCACCAACCCTCTGTCAGACACTGGAGAATCCACACGCTTCACCCCAAAACATCAACTTCACACCTGGAATCCTGGGTACAGATCTGGTCCCTGCTGTACAAAAAAGATGTGGACAGGCTGGAGGGGTCCAGAGCAGGGCCACCAAGGTGACCCAGGGGCTGGGAAGCCTCTCTCAGCCATATGGGGATGGGCTGGGAGAGCTGGGTTTGTTCAGCCTGGAGCAAAGGAGGCTCAGAGGGGATCTCATCACCACGTCCCGGTACCTAAGGGGGAGCTACAGGGAAGATGGAGACTCCCTTTCCACAAGGAGTCCCATGGAGAGGACAATGAAATGGACACAAGTTGATCCTGACAAGATTCCAACTGGACATGAGAGGGCAGTTTTTCCCAAGACAACAGTGACCCACTGCAATAATCTCCCCAAGGGAGGGGTTGACTCTGCCACATTGGGCATTTTGAAGCCTCAGCTGGACAGGGTGCTGGGCCATCTTGTCTAGTCTGTGCTGTTGCCCAGCAAGGTTGGACCAGATGATCCTTGAGGTCCCTTCCAACCTGGGATTCCATGATTCTGTGATTCTATGAACTCAGGAAAGAGAAAATGAAGAGTATCCCCTGCCCACGTGCTTGCAGAGAGCGGGGCCTCAGGACATCCCCACCAGGCGCCTCGAGAGGAGCTCTGGGAGGTGGCATCTCTGCCAGCATCCCCACGCTCGGTCCGAGGCTGGACTGAGGGGTCACGTCTTTAACTACCAAGGTGGAGCTCCCTCCCTTGGGAGCACGCACCCCAGCGCTGCTCCCAAATACCCATCCCACCCTCCCTGAGCAGAGCCTGCTCCAGGTGGAGGAGAAGGGAGAAAGGGGGATTAAAGGGCTGGCGCACAGCAGGCAGAGGATGGCCTCGCTCATCACATTAGTGACTGCTGCCTCCCCCACTGCCTGAGGTGGGGAGCCGAGCCCCGGCTGCTGGCCAGGCTGGGGGGAGCAGGGCTGGCCCCCAGCTCACTCTCTGCACCCCAGGGCCCTGGGACCACCATCAGCCGCCTAGGCTAAGGGGTGATGCCCATGCTGGGCTTCTCCGCGGGGGGAGTTTTTTTTTTTTGGGGGGGGGTGAATCATTAGGAAAAAAGCAAACTGTGCCTTGCTCAGCAGCTGGGCCAGCATGCCTGGGCTCACAGCGTGGGGACACAGTGAGCTGCAGGCTGGTGGCCCGTGGGGATGCTGGAGCCCGCTGACGCCCCGGGGTGGCCTCTGCTGCAAGCAGGGGGGTGCCCTGGCCCCATGCAGTGCTGACCCCCACCCTTCCCCTGGGGCTGCTGGGCTCACCCAGACCCACGACGGCAGCCACCAAGGAGCGGCTTGACCCTTTATGGCAGAGCTGAGCCCCTCCAGCTCCTGCGGGTCGGGGACCCCCCCTGAGCACCCCACTCAGGGCTCACCTGGGTGCCTGGCCAGAGCCATCGGTGTGGCACGGCCACAAGGGGAGCAGGCGCTGCCACCTGGAACGCCTACTGCAGCCACCCCGCCTGCCCCCACTTATTTCAGGGGTTTAACCCCAGTGACGGCTCCTGCAGGTCCCCCTGTGCCTCCTCCCAACGCGGGAGCGCTGGAACTGGGCACCAATTTCATAGAAATCCCCAAAAAGCAGGATTGGAAAGATCAGCCCATCCATTCCCCTGCCCCAGGCAGGAGTTGCCTTACCCCGTCCTCCAGTGCCGGACGATGCTGGAGCAGCCAGCACAATAAATGTAACCCATTCCTTAAATTCATACACGTTCCATCACTCCCTGAAGCCCGGGCACGTTTTAAAGAGTCAAAGCAATGCAAACAACTGTCACTTTATTGTCATTTCCAGCCGTACCGCAAAAGGCACACAACAAACTTCATGGGTACAAAAGAAGTCGCTGCGGGGTTTTCCGTATAGTTTTCCTCGCGGTTTTCTTTTGCAACACGGTCACTGGCTCTCCCATCGCCCTGACGGGAGGATCCTTTCACAGAAAGGACGATTGCGTTCGTGCAGACAGATAGCTCGTGATTGCAGCCGCAGCGGCACGAAGGGCAGGCGGGCCCGGCCACCCCGGCCCCCGCGGGACCCATGTGGCCACCCCGGCCACCTGCAGAATAAAT